TTGGTACGGAGTGTCTGCGCAGCAAAGAAGCAGGAATTGACATCGCGTTTTGTGTGTAGCAACTGATCTGCTACTTTCCATGCTTGGACCTGGAGAAAGAAATTGTTTACTTGTTTATATAACTATCTCTCAGAAACAGTAAGAAAAAATCATCACATAAAAAACATAACTTTTATAAATACATTATCAAAAATATGAATAGACTCATCTTAATATTCTATCAACATACAACAGATTAGGTATATTGCTTTACTCTACCTATTTTTGATTCTAGCCACTAAACAATGATGAAGTGAAGGGACAGGGGAGAGCAATGCCCTAGACTTTTTCTAATGGTTTCATATCCATACTTATGATCAACAAAAGTAGCAACAAATCTCACACTCACAACAAATGAATGCAGAGTAAGTGGTGTAATTTTGGCCCCAGACATACAAGTAGTCCAAGGAAAAAAACCCAGAGGGAACACATAGATCAATGTAATGTAGGCCAATTTCTTCCCTGATAGAGCTATCACAAAGAAACTAAAAGCTTTTTTTTTTTTTTTTTTTTTCTTTACACCAAAACAAAGATAAACAATTAACTCCTAGAGCACCAAATCCCACTATCATCTGTGAGGTATCAAAATTTGCAAGACTGGTTTCTCCACCCTTTTTCTGATATCACAATGAGTTTACAGTAAGAGTGAATTAGATCTGATATAGTCAGTCAAAAATGTTGTTGAACATGTTTCAAATTTCGTTTTAAAAACTGCTTAACCCACTAGCAACGGGTGTCCCACATATGAGACAAACGAAAAAATAAACTTTGCCAGGCGTCCTGCCAGTGTGACGCTGTATCAGGGCTCGCGCTCCGACACAGCAGTGGTCTGTGGCCGGCAGGTGGGCGGGCAGAGTCCGGGGCAGCCCTGACCGCCGATTTTGTAGCTACCCGGAATCTTTTATTTCCGGCTTCAAAATATACTGGTAAAATGGATGTGAAGCTTTGATTCAGTATAGGAATTTTGTCCAACATTATACTTCCCACGTTTTGTTTAGGCCAAACTGCTATCATGACCCCACCCTATACCTCTCTCTCAGACTGGATCTGGTATTACCTTCCTCCCACATACAATATATATATATATATATATATATATATATATATATATATATATATATATACATACAAACATAGAAACAAAAAAATATAAAAGAATTTACCCTAAATTCCAATATGTTTTTTGTTGCCATAAATATCTGACTTATGCCTTTTATCATATGAATTGGTCCAACTGATTCCAACTAATCAAGTGATAAGTGTGACCCTACACCTACTAGAACGCAGCAAACAAAGACAAAAAATGCTTGATCAATCTTTACAGTGAACATTTCATACTTTCCATACAGCCAAAACTATAAACTTATCATAAGTACGACCATAAATGATAGAACAATACTGACTGCATAATTTTTTGCATCTAATGCTCATGAGATATGTAATATGTTCCTTGTTATCATATGTATATTTTCAAAATCTTCTTTGTTGTCCCATCCATACTAACAAAGGACAACAAAACACTTCCTCCCTAGTTAGGCAAGAAAAATTAGACTAGTTTCCCATACAATAACAAATAATTAGGGAGGTAGTATACTCTACCTTAGCAGAATCTGAAGGGTTATTTGTTTTTACTAGACCTAGCAGTTAATCTTTACAGTATGGACACACTGAGTTATGGCAAATTGCATATGATATTCTTGTTGGGGGTAAAAAGTTGCTGACATGAACAGTAACAGCACAAATAAAAGAAAGAGATCTCGGAGAGTGCTCCTCTTAGCCTAAGTACACTCAGTGTCCCTGAGTTTCAGCTCTATCTTGATGTGCATATTGAGGTGAAGACAATGTTCCCTGAGGGTGTTGCCCTCCAGGAAACCTTCCCTCTGGCATTGCCCTCATGGCAACTTAGATTGATTAATAAATTTTGTGACATGGCAAGTGTGTCCTTACTGTAAAGAATTACCAACTTGCTAAACAAGCATACACATAGGGATTTTGACAGCCAATGATGTTGGTAACTTTACTTTCTGACGAACACTCTTAACCCAATCACACCAGGTGTCCCATATCTGAGACACCCGAAAAAAAATAAACACTCCACACGTCCCGCCAGTGTGACACTGTGTTGGGGACGCACTCTGGCTCAGCAGCAGGCTGCGGCCGGACAGACTCTGGGGAAGCTCTGCCTGCCAATTTCTGTAGCCGCCTGGATTTTTAAATTTTGGCTACAAAATGTACCCGGTACGAGTGGGTTAAACATCTAATAGTATTCTATCACATATTCATGGCTACTATCTTAGCTTTTTCCTATCTTGATGCAGTCCTACAGTGTTCCTTTTTCAACTCTTGTGCAGCATTTGAAAAATAGGTACTTCTAAAAGTTGTTAAAAAACAGTGTGCCTTTTTTAAATGTATGAAACTCCTACATCAACTCAAAAAAAACTCTATTCACATTTAAAAACCA